CCCTGTGCCGCCGGGGAGCAGGTGCGTCGTTCAAGTGCTTGAATGGGAGGCACCCACGGGGCGGTAACGCAGCGGCGCACCGCACTCTCGTCCGCGATGTCCGTGTAGCACTCGGTGGTCGCCTGCGACAAGCCGCCGCGGTGCGGTTGTAGGCCTAGCTTCGAGCAGGTACGCGCAGACGGTACGCCGACCTCGTACTGCGAGGGAAGCGGCAGCGACCGAGGAGGCGACGGTGAAGTGGGCTGCCGGCATGCCGGAGATGGCGACGCGGGCCTGAGCGAGGGCGAGGAGAAGGGTGGAGGCAGGCGGGAAGGCGGGCGGGCGGAGGGGGGGAAGACGATCTGGAGGGGGGAAGGGGGGGGACCTCGTACTGCGAGGGAAGCGGCAGCGACCGAGGATGACGATGATGACGATGGTGATGATGGTGATGAGGGACTCGTACCAACCATTCTTCTTGTCGATGACGGAATCGGCGGTGGAGAAGTCGGAGGTGAGCGCGGAGAGACCCGAGGCGCGACCGCCGCACGCAGCGAACAAAGAGCTGGTCCGCGATGTAGCAGATGTTGTCCGGCACGGAGAGCGTCGTCGCCTACACAAGCAGGGGCGGGGCGTCAGAGTGGGGGAGGGGGTGGAGGGAGGGTCCTTTTGCCTCGTCCGGGCGAAGCAGCACCTACGGGAAGGTTCCGAGAAAGTTCAAGGGCCCACCTTCTGGAAGGTTCCGGGAAGGTTCCGGGCAGGCCACGGTGTCGGTGCACACAGAGAGCGTGCGCGAGCTGCGCGCCTGCTCGAGGGATGGGCTCTCCACCCCTACGAGCCTCATGAGCAGCGCGGGGTTGCCCGAGCATTCGAGGGATGGGATGAATGGGCAGCAGCCTGCGTCAAGACGATCAAGGGGAGGATGTTGACGACGACGATGAAGAAGAAGGTGACGTTGTTGATGATGATGTTGACGAGGGTGGTGATGAGGATGGTGACAAGGATGGTGATGAGGATGGTGATGAGGATGGGGGCGAGGATGCTGGTGAAGACGGTGACGATGATGGTGATGCTGACGACGGCGCGAGGACTTATCATGCTGATGCTTTGCGGTGATGGTGATGAAGGGCAGGGGGCGATCAGTACGACCGATCAGGCAGGGGCGGCGGGCTTGGCGGCGGGGGCAATGGCGGTGGTGGGGACGGCGGAGGGGGTGAGGGAGCGGGCGGCGACGGGGGAGGCGGGCTCGGTGGGGGCGGCGACGGGGGAGGCGGGCTTGGCGGCGGCGGGCTTGGCGGTGGCGATGGCGGTGGGGGCGGGCTTGGCGGCGGCGGCGACGGTGGAGGCGGGGAAGGAGGCGGCGGGGGTGCGAGAGGCCGGAGGGAGGCGGGATGGCGAGGCGCTGGCACAGAGGGCGTGCGCGTGCTGCGCGCCTGCTCGAGGCCAGGACGCCGTCGGCACGACGGCCCGGGCTCTGGCCCTCCCGTGAAGAGCCCGACGGCCCTCTCGAGTAGGATGCCCTCGCCGAGCAGGCAGCGGCCCCCGGCACAGATTGCTCCTCGCCGTCCTCGCCAAGCAGGGGTGTCTGAGCAGGGGTGGCTTGCCGAAGCCGGTCGGAAGGGGGGGGGTGGGGGGGGGCAGGCTTATGCATGTTAGCCGGGCCGAGACGGGGGAGGTGGGTGGAGCAAGATGCCGGGAGGAGCGGGTGGGTTGGGGGGGGGGAGGGCCGGCCTGCAGACGGCGTCGCGCGGCTTGCGACGTTCGGCCGGCGTCGCAATGCATGGGACCTCGAAGGCCCTCGTGGAGTTGTGCCGCGGCTTGGACGCTCATGAGGCCGCGCGACTCGTGCGAAGCCGTGGTACGCGCCCCGCCAGGGAAGTGGGCTGTGTTTGCGTTTCTTTGTGGGAACGGGTTGGAATGGTGGAGGCATCTAGATGGAGATGAAGAGCGAGGCGCACCTCAGACTCGGCACCTGATCGGACGGAGGCAGTCCGATGAGCGGAGGGAGAAATCGAGGATGCGGCGGCGGCCGACGGACGGCGCTCAGCGCGGAGCGGGCGGCGCAGGCCCGGAGCCCTGGCGCGGGCGTGGCGCGGCAGGGCGCGGCGCGGGCGCGGTGGCTCGCAATCATGTTGGCCGGGGATCAGAGGGCGGAGGCGCGGCTCGGGCGGCGGCGCGAGCCTCTGCACGCGTCGTGCGGGCGGGGAGGGAGCGGGAGGGGAGGGCGAGGGCAGGGAGGGGCGGGGGGCGGGCTCAGCGGCGCGGGGCCCCGGCCCTCGAGCTGGGCGGCGGGCGCGGCAGCTGCCTCTTAGAGACGAGCCCAGAGGTTGCAGCCAAATCTGTCTGCGATGTGACGAGCAAAGGTTGGGAGGAGAGCGGCCTCGATCTCAAAGACGAGCTCGCGATGAAAACACCCGTGGCCGACCAGCCGCCGTAGTTGCATTTTTTTTGAGCCGGTGTCGCGGTGGTACCACCGCGGGGGAAGTTTAGCGGGACGGAAGGGAGCGGGGGGCGCCCAGTAGGGCGCCGGCGCCCCAGCTTATAATAAAAGGTGGGGTGTCGCAAATCACTTGTGGTAATTTTTCGTCCGAATTAATTCGATTTCTTTTCGCCCGTCTTCTTTCCTTGTGTCATGCCTTGTGCCGCTTGCTCGCCCGCCCGAGTGACTCGAACGCGCGGTCGAGGGCACCCCACCGTTCTTAACTGAGGCGGATTTGGGTTTTGTGTGACACACGCACGAATTCCCGAGGTGCAGCAGAGGTGCAGCCCGACCTGCAGCCAGGAAAAATTAACCCCGCTGGGCGGGGGCCTGGTTGGGTTGTGCGAGGTGCGGCCCTCACGAGCCACGAATTGTTGCATCAGGATGCCGCCCTGGCAAAGGTGTGGGCTCTGGCGTCTGGGAATCGGCTGCGCGCTCAGAATGCAGTCTTGAATGCACTATAATGCGTTCAAATGCCATGATATGTGCGATATGCAACATAATGCAAAAATGCAAAAAATGTGCATGGGCAAAAACCACACGCATTTTTGGGCAAGAACCACAACACACCCGCCCCCGCCCTCGGCCTCGCCCTCTCCGCCGCCGCCCGCGCCGCCGCCGCCCTCGGCACCGCCTTCTCCGCCGCCGCCGACTCCGCCGCCGCCCTCTCCGCCGCCCTCGCCGCCACCCTCTCCGCCGCCGCCGACTCCGCCGCCGCCCTCTCCGCCGCCGCCCTCGGCCTCGCCCTCTCCGCCGCCGCCCTCGGCGCCGCCGCCCTCGGCACCGCCCTCGGACTCCGCCACCCCCCTCCACCTCGCCCTCGCCGCCGCCTGCGCCGCCGCCACCTGCGCCTCCACCACCCGTGCCGCCGCCCCCCTCCACCTCGCCCTCGCCGCCACCCTCGGCGTCGCCCTCGCCGCATACCCACGCCATAGGACCACAAGCAGCACCGAGAACGCCGCCAGCAAGATTACCTGCCGCGCCACTTGCGAATTTTGACCCCACCTTTGGCGTGATGCCATTGTTGTACGCCTCAAAGCCTGCGTTGAATGCGCCACCGACAGCTGGGCCAACATATGCGATTGCTGACTGTAGCCAGCCACCTGCTCCTTCAGTGGCCATGCGCGTGCCTTCTTGCATTGCCACTTCGGCACCTTTAGATGTCGCCGCCGGGGAGCCCATTGAAGCGACCACCTCGACACCTTTTGCCGTGACTTTTGTCACCTCGATGCCAAATGTCTGCGCCGCCTCCTTCGCCGCCTGCTCAGCAGCATGCCTGCCCGCCTGTCCCCTACCTACCTAGCCTGTCCCGCAGCTGACTCTTGCCAGCGGCTAGCGCCGCCTGCTTTGCGGCCTCGCGTGCGGAGCTCGCTGCAGCATTGATAGTTTCCATCATGCCGTTGTATACGGCATTCACGCCGCTGGTAGTGGCTTGCGTGACAGTTTCCTTGGCTCCACTTATAGTGGCGTGTGGATAGCAGCCTCTCCGACTTTCCCACAAACGCCGAGATTGTTGCAGTCCGCCCAAGCTTGCGCCGTAGCTCCCCAGTACTTTGGCGTAGCATTCATTGCGGCTCATGCTTGCGCCGCAGACTGCACGCATGGCAATATCCCGCACTCTACTGAAGGATCTCGCCTTGTCCTCCTCGGTGCAGATCGGAAGGTACTCGCCCTTCCAGGGCAGACAGATGAACGCAATGTAGTCGTCCGGACGGAAACAATACTCATCAAGGAGCTGGGCATTGTCGCATAAGGCGTGCGCCCAGAGCGGGCTGTTTGCACCGCACAACTCGCGCTCGTGCGACCAGTCGGAGACAAACGTACATGGCAAAGCATAGACGGCAAAGACGAACGATAGCATCAGACGCCAGCAGTCTCAGCGCGTGGTTTGTTGGCGGCTTGGCAGGCGCCCAAGGGAGCGAGCCAGCCCGCTGAACCGCCGCTTTTGACCGCCGGTGAAGGAGCGGGCCGCCGCGGTGAGGAAGCACGAAACAGCAAGCACCATCGTGCAATGATGGGAATTGGGCTAGTCGCGATAGCTTTAGCTGGAGCCCTGTCACTGCAGACGAATGCATCGACTTCCGAGACAATGCCATCCCATGCGCTGAGCTTGAAAAGGCTCGCGCCTTCAATCAACGAAGGCACGGCGGCCACGCTGAGTCGTACTTATGAGTGGGTCCGTTCGTCGATGACAAGGGAGGGGCTGCCTGGTACTCGCTGGCACGTTGGACAACATGACAGGTCATGGAGCAGGTCCCGAAGATAAAGCTCGCAACCTCATGGCGCAGACAGCCAAGGACAACAGCGGTCTGGGCGGCCTTTTCAGCACAAGCAGTTGTGAGTGGACCAGCGCAGCAGAGGCAGGAGCTTGAGAAGAAAGGAGCTCTCGCGTAGAAGCTCTATTGTGGCATATGCTCTGAGAGTGAGTCCCTAGTAGGGATCCCTACACGGACATATGGGTTCGGGACAAAGAAGAGGTTCCTCCTTTCTTTCCGCTCTCCCCCCGCAAGGCGCGAGACACACACACACAACTTGGAAAGTCCGGTCACACCTGGGTCCCACGGCTTCGCGCATGGATCTCATTATCCCGGCCGAAGCGCTCCAGCAGCAAGCGCTGCTCCTCGAGTCGCGTGGCCGCCGCCTGCGCCTCCTCATCGGCCGCCCCCGCGTCGGCCTCCCACCCTGCGTGCCCCGGCCTCGTCGCCACCGCCTGCTTGACTAGGCAGAGCGAGTACCCGTTATTGCTGGCGACCCTCGGGCAGGCGAGCTGGAGCGCCGCCTTGCCTGCCCCCCGCTGTGCGGCGGCGACAATCGCGGGGAACTGGCGGTGGGTCGTCTCAAGCACGACCAGCACGGTGCCCTCCTCTGCCGATCGCGCCAACTCCTCGAAGAAGACAAACTCGCCGCTGCGTAGCGCGAGCGCATTCTCCGCGACGCAGTAGGAGGCGATCAGGAGCCGCGTCGAAGACAGTGCGCCGCACAGTGCGCTATTCGCCGGGTGCTTGAGCGACTGCGTGATGTCGCAACACCCAAAACTGCACGCGAGCGGGAACGGCATGCGGCGGCGCAGAGCGCGCTCCACTGCCGCCGCCTGCTCATGCCAGCGCCCCTCAAAGTCAAGCACCCGCACGGCAAGCCGCCCGTCCGCGGGGAGCAAGCCTTCGAAGCCCCGCACCAGCGCCAGAGCGACCAGGTCGAAGCCAGGCCCTCCCGCCACACTGAGCACCTCCCCGCCAGACATGCCATGGGTCGCACCTTGCACGAGCGCGGCCCGTAGCCAGGGCGGCTCGTCCAGCTGAAATAGGCCTGCCACCTTGGATGCGCGGTTGCCAAGGTGCGCGAGCGTGTAGCCGCTGCGTGCGCCGCCATGGCCAAAGTCAGGCATCGTGCCGCATTGGGCAGCCGTGCTCAGGTCGCGCAGCAGCTTCGCGGTTGCGGCCTCGTCCACGGCGGGCAGCTCGTGCTGGAGCTCCGTGAGGAGCAGCTTGATCTCGGCTACTCTCCAGAGCCCCCAGAGCCACGCTTGCATGTGCGGTCGCGGTCGCGGTCGCAGCGCACTTGCCGCGAGCGCGAGCTTGGCGACCCGAGCCGTGTCGCCGCCCGCCCTCGCCGCGTCGATCGCCTTTTTGTAGTCGCCAAACGCCGGTGTCAGACCCGCACGCGCCGACATCTCGTCGAACAAGCGCAGCGCACCCTCCCAGTCGCCTGCCGCGGTGCACGCCTGGCCCGCAGCCGAGAGGCAGGCTGCGCTCGGCTCGACACCGCAGCGTGGCATCTGCTGCAGAATCGATGCCGCCTCCTGTGGCCGACCTGCGGATGCGCACGCCGAAAGCGCCGCGTTGAAGCAGCTGAGGTCCGGCTGCGTGCCGCTATGGACCAGCTCGTCTAACAGCCGAAGTGCCTGCTGCCACTCTCCGGCTTTGGTGCAGCAGGTCATCGCTGCCGTGTAGTGGAATGCATCCGCAGGCACTCTGAGATGTTCCATCTCGCGCAGCAGCGCCAGAGCATCCTGCCACGAGCGCCGAGCCTTGCAGCCTTTGAGCCTGCCCATAAAGCTGAGCGAGTCCGCTGATGGTGGAACGACTGACGTCGAGCGAAGTGCGTGGACAGCGCCGTGCACCATATGGTCAACGTTATAACACGTCCGACTTCGCGGAGTCGTCAACCCACCGGCCTGAATTTCTTGTTTCTGGTATCCATCCAAGGTGAAGGTTCTAGCTGCTTCGTGCCATGCCAAAGAAAAGAATCCAATAAAACTCTTCACAACACTGACCTCCCACAGTGCACACAGTCCCTCTCGCGAGCCTCGTCTTCGCACACTCCCCGTAAGATTTTTTTGCGCGGGCCACGGCACTGCATTGGTATTGCTAAAAATCTCTCTCGGCACTGGGCGGTGCGATATTTTTTTTTGGACGAGCCAGGTACGCACCAAAAATCGCCACGGACCACACTCTGTGGGCAGGCCAGCTCTGTCGCCGCCGGGCGGGTCAACCCCTCAACGCCTGGGCCTGCGGCCCACGTTTTGCTTGAGAAACGCGGCCTCGAGCATCCTCGCGAGAGCGGGCTTCCCACGCCGGTGCGCCGCGAGCGTCGCCTCCGCGAAGGCTGCCCACGCCGCCGATGGTTCGCCGCTGCCCGCCGCGGGCGCAAGCGCGGCCGCGGCCGCGTGGCGGGGCGCCGCCAATGCCGTGACGTACCTCGCAAAGGCGGCGTCCTGGAGCTGGACCTGCGGTGGGAAGGGCGGCGGAGAGGGGGGCGGGGGTGGGGGGGCAGCGGGGGTGGGGGGGCAGCGGGGAGGGGAGGGGCAGCGGCGGCGAGCGGCGGCAGGGAGGGGGCGGCAGGGACGGGGGTTCGAGGCGGGGCGTCACTCCTGCGCGGCGGCTGACTGGCGCGACAGCGCCTCCTCGCGCACATAGGCCGCCGCCTCCGCCGCCTCCGCCGGCGGCGGCCGCCGCGGCAGCGCCACCGAAGCCCATGCGTGCAGCGGTCGGGAGGAGGGGCCGAGAAGAGGCGGCGGCGGGCCTGAGGGCCGGAGTCGAGGGGGGAGGCGTTGGGCGGGAGCATGCTGAGGCGTCCTCGGCCCGAGGGTGCGGTGTTCCGACCCACGGGCGGGCTAGGCGACAGGGGTGCGCATGCGGCGTGTGATCGCTTGCGCGGGCACGGCATGAATGCCGGTCTGAGTGCCGAGGTCGGAGTGCCGATGTATGAGTGTCAATGTTGGAGTGCCGAGGTCGGAGTGTCAATGTTGGAGTGCCGATGTATGAGTGTCAATGTTGGAGTGCCGAGGTCGGAGTGTCAATGTTGGAGTGCCGAGGTATGAGTGCCGGCCCGGAGCTGCACGCCGAGGTATGAGTGCCGGCACGTAGATCTACGTGCGTGCTGCCGATCTCGGCGCCGGGGCGCACGTGCAGCTTTCCATCCAGATCGACAACCTCGTCGGTCGCGCGCAGCGCCGACACGACGCGCGCAGGCAGCGAGGCGTCCACCTCGTGCACCTACCCCGACGAGCCCGTGGACGCGTCACGGACACGTCCCAACCGGCCGGGCGCCAGGCGCCCAGCGAGAGCACCCCGACCAGCGTCGCGGTGAGGCCGTCCTCGTCCTGAGGGGGCAGGGACGAGTGCCGTGGCGTGGTCGTTGCGGCCGTGGCGTGGTCGTCATGCTCATGTCGACATGGGAGGGACGGTGTGGCAGGCGGCAGCGCGAGGTTGTCATTCCGCATCTCTGGACCTCGGCCTGTCCGCAGTGGAGGAGGTACGAGAGCGCGTCGAAGCGTAGCTGCAGCCAGCGGTGGTCGAGGATCAGCGCGACCGCGCTCGAGCTCGCGTCCGGCGGCGCACCCGCCGCAGGCGCAGCCTGCAGTTTGGCTTTGGTTTCAGCGGCCCGCTTGGCGGCGGCGAGCGCCTCAGCCTGCGCGGCTGTGGTGCGACAGTGCGCGCCCCACGAAGTACACGCCTCCACGGGCGTGCCGCAGACGGCGCACCAGCAGTGCGAGCAGTGGCGGCGGGCGGACGCATCGCCGTCGCCGGGGTCGAGCTCAAACTCGGGGCAGTCGTGACGCGCGTGAGGCAGCGGGTTCGCTCGCCGCTTGCAGCCGACGTAGACGACCTCGTCGTCGTCGTCTGCTGCTGATGCCGCCGCTTCGTCGCCTTGACAGATGCCTTGGGGGTTCGTGCAGAGGTCCATCGCTTGCGCAGTCGATGTGTCGAAGAGCGATCCAACGGGGCGCTTGCGGAGGCCGCAGCGCCAAGCCGGCGGTTTGGACCCGGCCTGTGAACACCAACATTGGGGCCGGCGATTCCCATGCCGGCTCTCCGCCACAACCCCCGCCGGGAGGGAATCCCTGCTCACAGAAAAGGGCTCCGAGCCCTGTCTCGCGCACGCCCCTGACGGGCGCCGCGGACCAGTTCCGCGAGCGCTCGTCAGCGGGTGGTGTGCGGTTCTTGCCGTATAGTTCCTCTTCGGTCGCCTCTAGCCCCGGCGCCGTCTGTCGGACGCCTGCGTGTCACGAGTGCGAGCCGCTCGCGGTTCGTACGCCCGCTTGCGGGTTCGAGTGGCGGGCCAGCCCTTAGGCTGTACATACTTTTCCTCTCGCACCCCGTCTCTATTCCTTTCCTTTTTTCTCTACAGCACCCTCTCTTTTCCTCTATATTTTGAGAGAGAGAGATTTTTAGCAATACCAAACAACTCTAACACTCACACGTAATTTGGGGCTATATTTTCCTGGGGAAACCATCAAATTTTCCGGGCTCTGAGCCGAGTCTGAGGCTGGTTTGGGCCCAAAATCAGCCAAATCGGCAAAATACCGGGTATTTTGCGGGTATACCTGGAAAAACCCGGGTATACCTGGAAAAAGCCCGGGATGTTGCCGGTTTCCTCGATTTTGCCCCAGATTTTGGCCCAGACCAGCTCTCAGACTCAGGGAAACTCGCGAGTTTCCAGAATGGAGCACCAAACACCCTCTGTTTTCCCTGGAAATTTCCGGAAACTCAAAGTGCTGGGGCCCCTCTGTTTTCCTTTTTGTTTGCCGGAAAAGTATGTACAGGCCAAGCCAGCCCGCTTGCTCCTACTTATGGATTGCGCTCGAGGTAAATATATGGAGGAGCGCAAGAGCGCGCTGCAGGCGAAGCGATTTTTTGGCGGCAGGGCTGTTCCAGTTTATCTTGTGATCACGCGCGAGCCTGTAAATGCTGTGCGTCACTGGGCCATGGATGTAGATACCACATCGCGCGTGGTCATCGAAAAACCGCATGTTCGCCCGTCTGGGACCTCGTCGTACGGCTCCAAAAACCGCTCCTTAACGACGACTACGCGGCCCGACGGTCGATCTGCGCCTTCTCAGCGGTGGAGGGGATGTGGGCGGTACGTGCGGACCGCGTGGTGCTGCGATGGCTTGACGAGTCCGACTCCCAGCGTCGACTTCGCGACCCCACGGAGCCTCTGCTGCTCCGGGGGGGGGGGTCTGCAGACCACCCGGCCGAACTTCAGAGTGGCGGTGCTCCTCAAATACCGCTCAAACGCCCACGATGTTGTGGAGGGGACATATGCTGATGATCCTGGCCCGATTGGGTCGCTCAGAAAGCTTCTGGGCGGTCGTTAAGGTTCGCTCCCCGCACACCGGCCCGGAAGTATGGTACCCTAGACTCGCAACAGCTCTCTCGCGCCGCCGTCTGTGCTGAGGAAGGGTGTAGAGGATGTAGAGTGTAGAGCGCTGTAGAGCTGTAGAGATGTAGAGCGCTGTAGAGCGCTGTAGAGCTGTAGAGCTCTACATCCGGCGCGTGACGATGTGAGTCGCCTGTAGAGCGATGTAGAGCGCGATTTTGCTGTAGAGTTTGTTGTAGAGGCTCTACAGCCAAACCGCCGGGAAGGCAGTGACTCAAAGAGGTCGAGCCGCGCTAATGGGGTGTCTCCGAGCTTACTGGAGCTCTGATGGACAGCCCTGACTATCCCTGACACACAGAGAGTCACTCTGACGGCACACAACACCCTATGACTGCGTCATGACCAGCCTGCCATGTGTCGCCGGTGCCGCATTCGTCGCTGTGCTTCTTTAGCAGGCGGTGGACTGTCGGCTGCGAGGACGGTCGCATTTGCGCGAGGCGAGGCGAGCATTCAGACGCGTTGCATGCGCCATGACTCGCGCCAGCGCGTGCGGGAGCTCCTGGCTGAGCGTTGAGTCCAGGCGAGTTGCGCTGGCCACGATCGCTACGCCGAGCCGAGCTGACGCGCCGAGGCGCCGGCCAGTCGCAGCCGTGAGGCATGCCACAGCAGCAGAGGCAGCTCCCACCCATTGGGCGGGCAGACAGAAGGCCAGGCGGCGGCGACGGCGACGCTGAAGGAGGCGGCGGCGATGGCGAGGCGGACGGAGGCGGCGGCGACGGCGAGGCGGACGGCGGCGGCGGCGACGGTGAGGCGGACGGCGGCGGCGGCGACGGTGAGGCGGACGGAGGCGGCGGCGACGGTGAGGCGGAGGGCGGCGGCGGCAGCGCGTACTGCACGTTTGGCGAGACGGTGGACTGGCCGACGTCGTTGCGACCCCAGCACTCCGCGAGCGAGTTGTCCTTCCGGATGCCGCAGGTGTGGTAGCCGCCCGCCGAGATCTGCGTGTACTGCACGTTTGGCGAGACGGTGGATTGGCCGTCGGCGTTCGTGCCCCAGCACTCCGCGAGCGAGTTGTCCTTCCGGATGCCGCAGGTGTGGTAGTCGCCCGCCGAGATCTGCGTGTACTGCACGTTTGGCGAGACGGTGGACTGGCCGACGTCGTTGCGACCCCAGCACTCCGCGAGCGAGGTGTCCTTCCGGATGCCGCAGGTGTGGAAGCCGCCCGCCGAGATCTGCGTGTACTGCACATTTGGCGAGACGGTGGACTGGCCGTAGGCGTTCCAGCCCCAGCACTCCGCGAGCGAGTTGTCCGCCCGGATGCCGCAAGTGTGCCAGAAGCCCGCCGAGATCTGCGTGTACTGCACGTTTGGCGAGACGGTGGACTGGCAGCCGACGTTGTTCCGACCCCAGCACTCCGCGAGCGAGGTGTCCGTCCGGATGCCGCAGGTGTGGTATGCGCCCGCCGAGACCATCGTTTTGACACAGGGAAGCCTGACTGGCGGAGGGGGGGGGGACTGGCTAGCCAGCTATCGTTTTGACACTACAGGTCAGCCGAATTTAAGATTTGAAGGCGGGGAGTCCGTTAGCCTTAAAATCTTGAAAATGTGTGAACGGACAGCTAAAATCTTGCGAAAATGCGCCCCAGAGCTCTAAAATCTTGGTCTAAAATCTGAAAATCGCCGGCCTGCGGCCGGCCTCTAAAATCTTAAATTCGGCGGACTTGTACCCGGGTACTGTCGAGTACTGTGAACTGTTGGGAGGCGTGCAAGGCTGGCAACGGCCGAAGCACGCGCGGAAGCGTGGCAACCCTAACCCTAACGGAACCCTCACCGGAGGCCAGTCGCGAACTCCATATGCCGGCAGCGCCCGCAACGTCGGACGACCACAAGAAGGAGGGCAACGAGCTCTTCGCAAAGGGCGACTTCCTGCGCGCCGCCGCCGCGTACACGCGCGGCATCAAGGCGGCGCCCGACTCGCATGTGCTCTACTCGAACCGTGCGCAGGCGTTCCTGCGGCTGCACAAGGTGGGCAAGGCGCTGGAGGACGCGGACCGCTGCATCGCGCTCGCGCCCGACTTTGTCAAGGGCTACCACCGCAAGGCGTCCGCGCTGCACGCGCTCGGAGAGCCGGCCCGGTCTGAGGAGGCGAGCGGCCTCACCACTCCGCCCTCACTTGCTATCCTCCCTGCCGCCTCAGCCTCCCGTCTGCCTCTCACTCCTGCTTCCTTCTCTCGCCGCTCTCACACCGCCGCCTTCGCCGCATGTCCTCGCCGCCGCACGCCCTCGCCGCCGCCGCCCTCGCCGCCGCCTCCCTCACCGCCGCCGCCGTCGCCGCGCAAAGGCGGCGGAGCTGCTGCTCGGCGCCATCGAGCGAGGGATGGAAGACCGCGAGCTCGTGCGCCTCGGCGTGACCGTCGGAGGCGACACCCCTCTCCTCCAGCTGCTCCAAAACGCGTCTCCGTGAAACCGCCTCCGCTGCACCCACATGCCCGCAGCGAGCGCATCGCGCGTCCTTCCCCGCCCCGCCCCGACGCCCTTCTCCTCGAGCCCTCGCAGGGAAGGCGTTCGCAGCGCGCCTCGACGCGTTCCGCAAAGCCGCGGCGCCGGTGGCGCCTGAGGAGGGCGACAAGCCCGCCGCGCCGCCGCCGCCAGCCAAGAAGGCAGCGCCGCCGTCCGCGGCGGCGAAGGAGGCGCCGCCAACAGCCGCGGCCGCGGCGAAGGGGCCCACGGAGCAGAGCTTGAGCGAGGGCTTGGGCGAGCAGCTGCCTTGGGAGGCGCCTCCCGAGGACTTTGCGGCAGGGTGCTTGCAGGCGCGTGAGTACTCAAACTACTCAGCAGTGGATGTGTGAATGAGTGCTTCTGACTGTGCGGCGGAGTGCCTGCAGCCGATCCTCAAGCGCTTCCTGGCGGAGGGGCTCGTCTCGCTGCCGGCGGTCGTCTACCTGCAGCCCGCCCCGCCCGCCAAGGGCAGCCGCGAGGAGCCATCAGCTAAGGCGCCTCAGGCCCCGCCGAGAGAGATCGCCAGATCACGGCGCTTTTGCGCGAGAGTAGGAGCCATCCCTCGGCCAAATCTCGATCAAGCCCGCCTTTGCCTCGCCGAGCACTCTCGCCCAGTGCGCAGACTTCCTGCAGGGCAAGGCGGCCGAGGCGCGCCCTCCCATTGCTGAGATGGATTGCTGAGATGTGGGGAGATGTAGGGAGATCGGGAGGGGGAGACGTCCCGCATCTATGCGCGCCCTTCCCAGCGCTGCGCCGCTGGCGGCGCCACCTCCACCCCTCCGCCCTCCCCTCCTCCCATGCCCTCTGTGACTTCTGCTCCTCGACACACACACACACCCTCCTCCGCCCTCCCGGCAGGCTCGCGCGCGCTCGGCGGTCATCTTCGTGCGCAAGGCAGCCGGCCGAGCGCTGCAGTGTGTGTGTGTGTGGGGGGGGAGGGCGAGGGGGGGCCTCTCTTGACTCAGCCTCGCGAGCGGACCAGGCGCTGATCGAGTACCCGTGCGTGTGGAAGGAGAAGCGGAAGCAGGAGTGGCCGTTCGACGCGAAGGTGGGCGGCCTCCCCCCGCCCCTCACCCTCGCCCCGCCCCTCACCCTCGCCGCGCCCCACACCCCGCACCCCGCCCCTCACCCTCCCCCCGCCCCACACCCCGCACCCCGCCCCTCACCCTCGCCCCGCCCCACACCCCGCACCCCGCCCCTCACCCTCGCCCCGCCCCACACCCCGCACCCCGCCCGTCACCCTCGCCCCGCCCCACACCCCGCACCCCGCCCCTCACCCTCGCCCCTCGCCCCTCGCCCCTCGCCCCTCGCCCCTCGCCCCTCGCCCCTCGCCCGTTGCCCGTTGTGCCCGCCCACCTCGGACGGTGCTATCGGCCCGACACGCGCGCAGTAGACGGCCCATCAGCCCCTGCTAGGTCGCCCACGACGTGCGTCCCTGATGACGCGTCCCCTGACGCGTGCACGGAGCGCCGTCCGCAGGCCGACGGGCTCTTCATGCAGTGCGAGTCGCACAACGACCGCGTTGTCTACTTCACGCAACTCACGGAGAGCAAGGGGGGCGTCTGCTCCGTCGGTGAGAGGCCCCGCAGCTCCGCTCGCCCCAGCCGCGACACGTCCGTGACAGGTCGACGAGATCTAGGCGAGACCGTGCAGCTCGACCCGGCGACGTTTGCGCTCATGCCGCGCCTCTTTGCGACGTGAGGCTCTCGCGGCTTTGCTACCAGGACAGTCCGGGCTGGAGACAGATATTGCAGGTCCGGCCAGGGAAGGGACCTGTCAGAGACAGAGATCAGAGTTTTGCGTTTCGGGTTTCGCGCAGTGAATACCAGTAAATGGCAAGCACTGTGACGGCAAAAAGTTATGCTCATGGTGCTCAAACCCCCGGTTGTGTGCAAGCCGCGCAGCGCACACGGGTGCGTATCTAGAGAGAGCCGAGGGTCGCCCCCCCTTGCCCCACCACTTTGTGTGTGTGGAGAAATTTACCTTACCTTACCTTACCTCTAGAGAGAGCCGTGTGTCGCGTATCGGGGCGGTCTAGCCGGTTACGGCGGGCGGCTGGGGAAATATCATGAATTGTAGCGTCGTCGTGTCTCTAGCCGGCAATCACTCTCTCTTCTCTCTCAGACCCCCCACCCCCACCCCCCCCAGAACACACGCCCCCCGGGCAATCACGCCCCGCCAAGTCCCCTTGCATTCCTCAGCGCCATGAGGCATACCACGTATGCCGCGCGAGAGCTGAGAGGAGGCGAGCCCCCTCGGCCCCCGCGGGTCCGGCGCCAATACGCGCTCTCGCAATCGCTACCCGTCGTTTTTCGAGCCCCACCAAAGTAGCCCGGGACCGACCGGGGGCGCGCCGATGTGGCATCGATCGTCCAGTCGTCGCTGTGCTTCGTGCGGCGCTACTAGTCTTCGTACTAGTCTTCGGGCCGCTTGCTGCCGCGGCCGCGGAAAAGCTGCCCTCCTTGCGAGGGAGTCCTCCGCACCGCCTTTCGGAAGGGCAGGGGGTGGGGCGCTGAGGGCGGCGGCGGCGATGGAGAGGCGAACACGATGAACCCGGAGCTCATGTGTGTGGAGCATCTCTCGGAGCACCTTGGAGCATCTCGGAGCCATCACGGAGCATCTCTCGGAGCATCTCGTAGACTCTCGTAGACTGCTCGGAAAATCTCGGAGAGCGTCGCCTTGGCAGCGACGAGGAAGACGGCGACGCAGACGCCGTCGGCTGCCCGCCAACCAGCTGGGCGGCCCACGGCGGCGGCGGCGGCGGCGGCGGCGAGCCGGAGCCCGCTCAGTAGGGCGACGCCGCGCCTGCAGAGCGCGTGCCAGCGCGTGTCAGAGGGGCGGGGGGAAGGGCGCGTGTCGCTCAGCCGAGGCCGGCGAGTGCGCCGGAGCCGCCAGAAGCGCTTCATCCACAGCCATCCTACGAGCGCAAAGGTTGGAGGGCTCCTGAGGGTTCGTAAAGAGGGGTGGAAGAGCCTCCTCCACGGCCGGCCGTGCTCGGCGCCGTCCTTGAGGACGAAGAGGTTGACTGCGACGAGCCAGAGCCAGGGCGCGCTCGCGCGGCAGGCGGCGAGCGGCGCGGCGCAGAGCGGCGCGGCGCAGAGCGGCGAGGGCGCGAGGGCGGCGAGGGCAGCGAGGGCGGCGAAGGCGAGACAGAGCGCCGCGTACCTGTGTGGACGGGTCAGGGACAGGTCGCGGACAGGTCACTCGGACAAGCCGGGGTTGGGCCACAGGCGCATGCTGCATGCACATATATGTGCATGTGCATGTGCATGTGCATGTGCATGTGCATGTGCATGTGCATGTGCATGTGTGCAGGGACAGCACGGCGCAGCGGGAGGGAAGAGCGGGAGCGAGGGGCGGGGGGTCAGGGAGAAGGGAGGCGAGGGTGCGCGCACTCGTTTGCGTGGAAGAAGGGCCACGCCTCGGGGTCGTCCAGCGAGGCGCACTCGTCGGGATAGTCGCCGACCACATCGGCCGGGCACTCCTGTACTCGCAGCGCGCGGCGCGTGAAGGGACGCCTCGCATCGCTCACGTCCGGTAGGTGGGCTGTCTCAGACGTGTCTCGGACTTGTCTCGGACGTGCCTCGGACGTGTCTAGGACGTGTCTAGGACGTGTCTAGGACACGTCTCGGACGTGTCTCAGAGAAGGCTGCGCCTCGCTGCGCGGCGCGAGCCGAAAGACGGACCCAAAGAAGCCGTTGGTGAGGCCGTCTCCAACCTGCGGAGGCGTCGGACCACAGCGTGCCGTGGGAGTGCCGTGGGCGGTGCCGGTGGGGCGTGGCGGTGCGAGCGGAGCAGCGAGGCAGGGGTGGATCGGGATGCGGTGGCGGCAGGCGCGGTGACGGCAGGAGAGGAGAGTGGAGTGACAGCGCTCCTCCACGAGAGGGGGTCTAGGAAGTGTCTAGGAAGTGTCTAGGAAGTGCGGTTGTGGTGGGACGCACTCGCGAAAGAGTGCGCGAGGAGAGGGTCCACAGCCAAACGTAGGTGCAGACTAGCGCACAACCGCCGAGAAGCGACGCTTGAACCGCCGCGGCAGCCGGCGAGGTCGGCGCGGCGGCGACGGCCACCGCCGCCCAGGCGTGAGAGGCTGCGAGGCCGAGGTTGAGTCGCCGGTAGGTGGGGAGGCGAAGGCGCCGCCGGCCAATCCGTGCGGCGTTTATCATTGCGTCGTACGACGCCCAAACCACGCCCATCGGTGCAGCCAGGGCAAGGAGCTGCGGCAGCCGGGCGGCAGGCGCTGACGGCGCGACGGTGGCGACGGCGAAATAAGCCCATCCCGCGAGAGCGGCGGCAAGCGCACCTGTGTATGCGCGCCTTGCGAGGTCTGCGTGCTCCGCAGCAGCGGGCGAACCGTCGTCGGCGAGCAGGCTGCTCGTGCTCGGCTGCGCTAGCCGATCGGCGCTAGCCGCTAAAGGAGCGGGCGCCCTGAGAGGTGGTGCCCGGGGCCCTTGCCCTCCGGTCCACATGAGGCGAGGATGCGGAGCACGGAGGAGACCGCCGTGGCCGATGCGCAGCGACAGTGCTGCGGGCGAGACGAGGAGCACGTAACTCACAGCACGCGCTGACATGGATGGGTTGCCACCGGGGGTGCCGGCCGGGATTCAGACACGCTGATCATGATGCCGTCACTTGTACCTGGGTAGTGAGCGTCGGGCTGGTGGTTCGACACCGAGTTTGAAAGATGTGTTTCTCTACGTCTCTCTTCACAGGAAAATCCTGTGAAGAAAAGCGGAGAAAAAACAGAAACCTTTTCTGCCTCGGCCTTAGCCGTCGGTACTCCGAAAGCGTGCTACTCGAGTATCCAAGTACTATGAGCGCACGCAGCCGGGTCCCGAAGGTGTCCCATCCCAAATTCGTGCCGTCGACAGACCAGATTCGTGGTCCCTTGGTCGACTACACCCGCCTTTGGACGGTAGCCCGACACAATACATTTGTCTGTCTTTTTGGATTTTTGGTTCGTCTGGGTAAGGGTTTTGCAATAAACCTCCTCACCACTGCGAACACTGTCTTGCTCGTAGGAGCCGTTCGTCCTTTGTCCGAGCAAACGCGCGCCCGATCACCCCGTTGAGCACGTGTGCAGGGTATCCGAGCGCCATGAACTCCCTGAGTTTGCTCGTCACGCTGAGGAACCCCTCGTCATCGCTCGCCATAGCACTCACCTTGAGCAGGCATCCAACGACTATTCCCTCTTTCATCTTCGCGCATGTGAAGCTATCCCAGCGATGGTAGCGCCACACCCGAGGCTCTCTCTCGCAGCCCTCATTGACGTTCTTGAGTCTCATCCGGAAACCTCCGTTCGCGTCGAGCTCGAGAGCCGTCTCTAAAAAATGAGCGTTATCGGCTGCCTCCCGAGAGATCCAGTCCCGAGAGAGATCCGGTCCCGTTAGGCGTAATAGCCGAGAGAGCCCGCGTCGATGAGTTAGTTAGTTCGACGAGGTCGGTCGGGAGGCCTTGGCCCTTGCTTGCGGAGAGACCAGCGAGTCGTACTTCATGGTGCCCTTCTCTCTCCCCCCCCCCCCCACACCTGGAGGCTCCAACGTGGACACGCCCATACCTCGAGGCCCATACACAGGCATAGCTGGCGACACCACCCTAGGGTCTAGGCACACGCACACGAGAAGAAGAAGAAAATCTAATCTCTCTCTCACGCACGCGACACGGTGCGAGTGAGAATATAGCGGGGAGGTAAGGCCAAAAACAGGGCAACAAAAACACAGGGACACCAGAACCCGTGGCGCGTGGGAGCCGCCTGACTACATGTACATGTGCATGATCCCTGCTCTAGAGGGAATCTTCTGTATATCGTGAATGATCGCCTAATATCGCCTAATATCGCGCAATATCGCGCAATATCGCGCACCTTCGCCCCGGCGGCGGTGACGGTGACGGGTCAGCGAGCTGGCGCATTTCTTTGTTTTCGGTCGCCCTTTCGCACCGCGTTCCTACCGAACAATGTCTACTGAGAGCTGTGACGGGGTGAGAGCTGAGTGCCGGCTGGACGGCTGGTGTGCAACCCGGTCTTGAAGATGAAGAGAATCTCCCGGTCAATTCTGAAAGTCTCGCGCGAGTAGTCGGTCAGCTGGGCAAAGCTGCACATGTGGCCGCCGATGGCCCTATATAGCATGATAGTGCCGTCGACCTCCTGTTGTCCAGCACGGTAGCGGTTCACGCCGTCGACGAGTTGGAACTGTGTGGACCGCCACGGCGCCGGCTGTGGTGTGGGCGACGGTTCTGCGGGCGGTAGTGCTGTCGCCGCGCGCTTGTGCCGGGACCGCTTCTTCTTCTTGACTTCTGCCTATTGCTGTGGTCGCTGCTGTCGCTGCTCATGTGCAAGCCGCGAGGTGTGTAGCCAGCCAGATCCAGCTGCGCAACGCGAGCGGAGCGAGCGAAGCGCCAGAACGGCGCCCGTCCCTTTGTAACGCTTCACGCGCGTCGCTGAGGCGTGCTGTGAAGGGCTCGCGTGATCGCGAGCATCGCACAACATCGCCATTTATCGCAGTTTATCGCCAAATATCGCGCGGTATCGCGGTTGCGATATTGTGAAAGATTCCCTCTAGAGCAGGGCTTGCATGTGCATGCAAGTAACAACAACATGGGCTGCAAGGCGCGCGGGCAGTCCGGCCAACCCTTCTCCCACAAGACCGGCCACGGCTACGTCAAGGCGCGCATCGCGGTTTCTACCACGACGCGATCTTTGTCAAGCGCAACAACTTCAACCTGCTGCAACACGAGACGTTCGGCGGCGGCTTCTCGCCCACCGCCCGTTCTTCGAGCCCGTTCTCAAGCTGCGCCGCCTCGCGCGCAAAGTCGCGCGCGGCAGCGTTGACCGCACGGCCTACTCGCCCTGGAGTACTCGCTCTCTTTTATGTCCCACCATGCAGAGCGCATCTCTCTCTCTGGTTGTCTGTTGTGCGAGGCGTGAACCGCGCCATTCGCTCTCACCTGGCAACCCTGTCTGCACGTCTCGCGCGCGCGTGAACAGGGCTCCGGGCCCCAAATGACGTGT